TTACCAATTTGCTGCCTTTCCGTCCCCCATTCTCTCAGCACCACCTCCTAGATGCCCCAAAATAGATCCAAAAAAAGTTCTTGCATATGCCTGCCTATTTTCCATGGCATTTGTTTATCCTGGAATGGGCTTACCTTCTGTGAGTTTCTTTCATTTTCCAGCAATTTCTTCTGCTTTTCCAAATCTTCCATTTTTTGTTCCGTCTGCTCTAACTTGTCCTTCAATAATTTCACTTCAGCAACCAGAGCTTGTCGCTCATCCATTGTTTTGCTCAGTAGTGCATCCGCTTCAGATTTCTCCTTTCGTAAAGTATTTACAGCTTCATCTTTATTTCGCAAACTCTCTCGCAGTTCTGACACCTGCAAAATTTCGCAGAACACTGATAATTTCTTTAAAATTTTTTTATTGAAAGTGCTGGTGATGATGTGTTAGACAGTACATACTCTCTTTAGCAGTCCAATAAAATCAGCAGCTGAGGTGGAAAACTGGCTAACAGCGGTATTAAATCAGCCGAGAAAGCAATTTTTACCGGTGCTAGTCTGCTCCGGTAGGCAAAAAATTGTCTGATCAAGGAAAGGTGAAAACTTTTCTCAAGAGACGACACTGTGGTCAAGAAGTGAAAATTTAGATGACGCTAGTTCGTGTAACCAACGCCTAAGCAATTATTTAATTAATAAATAAAAATTTGCGCACCGTTACACTGAGGTCGTTTTTCATTTCACGCTGAAACTCGTTTTGAAAATCGGAAAATTTCTTCCTTGCTTCTTGCAAATTCTGCTGTGCTAAATCTCGTTCCACGGTTAGCGCAGTACAAAGATCGTAAGCCTGAAAAGCAGGCGAGTGAGGTTGAAGTGTATCAGAAAGCAATTTAATTACGCTAAATCCATCAATTCCAACACTTCTACGCGTTAAAAACTAAGAAGTATTATTTTGAAATCATGTAAGGTCGTGTTATAAATACCTTTTGGCATTCTGATGTAACCTGAGATAAGGTCAACTGGAATTCCTGAACTCGACGATCTAATATTCCGCACTCCTCCTTCTTTTCGGACAATTCTATTTCTGTTCGAAGCAGTTTGGCTCGAATGTCACCGGCTTCGGCAGTGTCACTGAAGGAAAATGGTTTTAAAGAGCAGCTTCCTTCCAATCAGTAAATGCGCTAGCTAATTCAGCACTACATACGATAGTGGCTAAGTTTTCCAGGGTAACGAATATACCGACCAGACATTTTCAAAGCTCATTTCCTCTTTATCATTTTTTTAAGCTTAAAAAAA